AGTAGACCAAAACGCAAACTCAGACATTCCAACTCAGACGTTCCTCAGCATGGCTGAGAATGAGGCCACATGGGAATTGCTACCCCATCCCTTCCAAAAACATGAATGGCTTCTTTTCTTTTTTTTTTTTCCTCTTTATTTTTTTATTTGTGGGGCGAGAGGTGTAGCGGGGGGAGGGGGGAGGGGAAATACCTGCGTTGCTCAGGGCTTGTTCCTGGCTCTGCTTGGGTTACTCCCGGCAGGGATCAGGGGACTATATGTGGTACTGGGGATTGAACCTGGGTCAGCTGTATGCAAGGCAAGTGACTCCTTCTATACTATCTCTCCAGCCTCAAGACATGAACAACTTCTTGGCTTCGTTATCAAAAGGAGGGAATACAGAATAATCATTTTCTTCTCAAAAATTTCAATTACAGAATCTTATATGAGAGTCCACTATTTCAAATATGAGCCATTAGTAAAAGTCTTAAGAAACACCCCATCAGACCAAGTGAAACATGTCTTTAAGCCAGACCTGCCCTCCAGGACTTTCCGAGATGCGTAAGGGACTTTTTGCTCTAATATGATGAGTCTGTGTTATTCCACCACTTGCTGAAGAGAAGGACATGTGGGTGTCGCCAGAGGGAGCCAGAGACAGTGTTTGGCAGGGAGACTCAGGAGCTGGCATCAGTAGGTGCCAGAAACCACTCTTTGCTGGGGCCAGGGAGTACAAGAGGTGACGCCCTTTCCTTGGATGCGGCAGACTCCCTGCACCACATATGGTCCCCAAGCCCTTGGTTGTACCACTGGATGTGGCCCCAAACCTCCCTCCCTACACCCCCCCCCAAAACAGAGAGAAGAAAAAGTTTGGGGACTTTTATAAAACCAGCAGGTATGGCTGCTGCCCCAAACAGTTGCAGTTGCCCAGAACTGCCCTGGGAAGTGCCAGCTCAGGGCGGAGCAGAGGGGACTGCAGCTTCGGGTCTGGCACTGGTGCAGGGACTATGAAAACAGCAGAATTCCTGAGATGCCAGTGCTTCATGTTGGCAGTGGAGAGGATGTGAAGGGTGATTTGCAGTTTGTTGCTTTTTTCAGTTTCATTTTTTATTACAAAGGTATCGAAAATGACTTCCAGACATCCAGGGTTCCACCATGAATCCGCAAGGTTATCTGAAACAGAATTTGGGGGCTCCATTCCCAGCACCAGTAACTTTCCCCCGCCAGGCGCTCATGTCACCCCCCTACCACCACCACCACCTCCTTAAGTGGTGTTTGGAAAACTTTGGTAGTTGTGGTTTGAGTCTACTGCTTATGATGCTCTTGGCTCTGGCTCAGCTGTGTACCTAGAGCTTACCCCCACACCACTCGTTACCCCGCCCTCTGCCCTCCCGCTCCCCTCTTCTCACTTCTGTTTCTTTCCTTCTCTCCAGGTGTTTGTATTTCCTTTCCCTCTCCTCCTTTTCATTCTTTTCTCCATTTTTTTGTGGTCACATTTTGTTTCCAGAATGAGGAGATGCTACCCTTTAGGAAGCTACCAGTAAGGATGGGATAGGACTTTTTTTTCCCCTGTTCTAGCAGGAAAAGAAGGAAACAGAAGCCAAGGGCCTTTCTTTATGGTCTAAGATAGCGGTTCCCTGATCTATTTGTCTCCTGGCCCTCTTCAGAAAGAGCATTACTCAGTGTCCCCCCTGCAAATCTGTCATTTTTAAGTGAACTAATATTAAAGCACCCCCTAGATGTGCCTCAATTCTGCCACCTCCCTGCGTGGCTCCAGTGCCCCCCTCAGGGGCAATATCACTCCCTTTGGGAAACTGCCCTCGCGGTGTTGAAATGGCCCTGGAAAAGTGAGTAAAATCGCAGCCCTCTGGACTTCGATGAATCTATAGAGTAAACCGAGGAAAGTAAGAGTGAATGAAAAAGATTTGCTATTGTTGCTGTTTTTATAATTTATTAATTTTTCATTTTAAAAAAACTGTGATTTGCAAAGTTATTGATAGTTGAGTTTTAGGCATATAATATTTCAACACTAGTCCGACCGCCAGTGTCAACTTCCCTCCACCAGTGTTCCCAGATTTCTTCCCATCCCAACCCCTTCTCCACCCCGTCTGTCTACTTGATAGGCACATTGCAAAGTTCTGGTGGTTGCAGCTTAGATCTCATGTTTCCAATGTTGTTGAGCTGTGTTTGGGATATATTGCTCTCCCACTCTCTCGGATCACTGGGATAACTGAAACCCTAATGGGTGATGCCCATTTGCTCTTCTCATTCTCGTCTTCTCCCCTTGATTTCTTTCCTTCTCTGTCCTTCTCTCTAGAAAGATTTGTGAGCTCCAGAATGTAGAAAATTAATATTTTAGTTAACTTTTTTGTTTTCCAAAGGTAAGTAATCTTACGTGAGTATCACACTTGTGAGGAACTGATCCAAGTATCAGTTTCCCTTTTCTAGGAAGTTGGAGATGATAAGGTAGATATTTTAGGCTTTTAAAATGAGGTGGTCTCTACTAAAAATGTTCATCTGTATCTTCCTAGAGTGGAGGATTCTCTAGACATTGCATATGGTATTCTCATGAGGCTTCGCCCTCAGAGCAACTAGCCATCGTTTGTTTACCACTGGTTTGGAACATGGACAGTCGTGCCAGATTGAAATGTTCATCAGCCAGTGCTGAACTTTGCTTGGGGTAACACTGTAACACTATAACACTGTTCTCCCATTGTTCATCAATTTGCTCAAGCAGACACCAGTAATGTCTCCATTATGAGACTTGTTGTTACTGTTTTTGGCATATTGAATACATCACAGGGAGCTTGCCAGGCTTTGCTGTGAGGGCAGAATACTCTCGGTAGCTTGCCAGGCTCTTCGAGAGGGGCAGAGAAATCGAACCCAGTTTGGCTGCATGCAAGGCAGACGCCCGGCCCACTGTGCTATCGCTCCAGCCCTTTGTTTCGGGTAGGATGTTAAATCCTAGTTTCACTGCCTTTGGGATTGGCCTGGAGAAACCTTTAGTAATATTCATAGTCTCGTGGAATTTGGAGGGGATGCACATGGCCTTGCTTGTGAATTAGAATGTGGGGAGTGTTTGAGGGAAGGAAGTTTTCCCGAAGGAACTGGTGCTTAAAACTATATGCATCTGCAGGACATGGTTAAGATGAATTACTGTAGAGTAGAAAGGGGCTTATTGAAACATCCTTCATTTACATAATAGCACAAGATTCCTTTCTATTAAGATTATCCATGTTACAAAGATAAATTGGATTAAAGTCAACTAGTTGAATAATCTGCACATTGAGTAACTTTAGTATTAAATTTTTGCAAGTATCTATAAATTCAAGTAATTCAGAGTCATCTGCATTCATCTGAAAAATTATGTAATAATTCTTATTCCATAAGTCAGCTGCATCTGATGTTAATTTGAAATAGCCTCAGAGTTTTGAGATTAGTGTTTCAATTTGTTTTTTTTTAAAAAAGAACAGATGTGACCTTTGAGCCCACTTCCTGAGGCATGCACTCAAAGAAGGAGGGATGAGAGAATGAGGGAATCTTTGAGCTGCCGAAAAATGGTATTCTTCCTCAGACCGAACTTCAGTTGGAATGGTGAATTTGTTCATTGTGTTGAAAGCCAAGTAACTGAAGATTGTTCATGCACTTCTGAATATCGATGCTGAAGGCATGGTGGCTGAAAATGATCAGGATTGGGGCTGAAGACAAGACACAAGAGAAAGTTCGCTCTTTCATGCTCCCTGCGTTCCATCCTCAGGACAGCAAAAAATAAAAATAAACAAAAGTACAAAGGAGCAAGGGTTGCTCTTTTTTTTAACGTAGAATGTATTGTTGCAGAAAAGTGTCTTTTCCGTTTTAGAGACTATGTCAGTTTTTTTTTTTAGCTCAAATATGTCTTTATATCACAAAAACATTTTTGATTTATTCCAGAATTAAACTTCAGGATATTTGCAGCTACACCCAGTGCTTTGCAGCCTAGGTTTAAGAACAGCTGTCCTGGGGCATCTATCTCAGCAGAATTCCTTCCACCCGCATGTTATTGAGCTTATGGGGCAGAAGTGAGCCAGATATAAATACTTCAGATTTTGCACCTTTATATTTTGTTTTCCAAAGCACTGAAGAGAACTTCTATTGAATTTTTCCAAAGACTTTCTGATCTGCTTATTAAACACATCTGAGAAGAAGGCAAATGAAATCAAAACTGGCCTGAAAGAGACAAGAGCTGAATTCAGTATTAGAAGCCAGAAAACTTGTCTGTGCAAGGATAGTTGTTCTCATCTTAGACTCTCACAAAGCCTAGCCCTTAGGTTTGCCAGAATCGTGGAATGGGAGCAACCTGGGTGGGATATTACTGTTGAGTCTGGTGTCTTCAGACTACTCTGGACCCAGCTCTTTCTAAAACCCTACCTCCCTCTTCTCTTTCTCTATAATAATGCCTTGTGTCTGTGAAGGCAGGATGGTCACACTAAGGACAGGAGGCACCATCTTTCAACTGCCAATAAAGCTCTGTCTCAGCCTGTCAGTATCTCTCAGTTTATTGCCCTTCAGCATCAGGGAAGGAAGCGGTCTGTTCTGGTTACATGGAGAGTGATACTGATGCTTAAGGTCTAAGAAGAGCCCCAAAACATACTTCTTTAGGAATTTGGTTTTTTTTTGGTTTGGGGGGTTTTTGGGTTTTGGGTTTTATGTTTTTTGTTTTGTTTTGTTTTTTAAAGTATTTCACACCTTTGGTTTTACACTTTCTGGGAAGCAATCCGGTACATGTTTTTCTAGTCCTTGGGTAGTGACCCCGAGCTGTGGAACTTTGTTCCCTCTCACAGCTACAGAGCTGGCTTCACTCATTCCCCAAGAGGCCTCAGCTCCAGCTGTTCACTGAGCTTCCAGCTTGACCCTGTACTGTTATCCTTATGTGACTTCCACTAAACCATCGCTGTGTTACACAGACGGTGACATGGCAGTGAGGGCTCGTGGGTGAGCTCTGATTTAACATGATGTCTCTTTCTCTTTTTAATTCCCAAAGCTCTCCTGTCCAGGGATGGTGAGGTCGGCACAGGTGTCCTCGGTGCCTCCTCCGGGCTGACCCTGCGTGAAGACATGGAGAGCGCCCTCACGGGGAGCCAGGGCTCCCAGGCCTCTCTGCGCGACGTCCATTCCATCAACCCTGCCCAGCTCATGGCCAGGATTGAGTCCTACGAAGGAAGAGACAAGAAAGGCATCTCTGACGTCAGGAGGACTTTCTGTTTGTTTGTCACCTTCGACCTCTTATTCGTAACGTTACTGTGGATAATAGAGTTAAATGTAAGTTCTTTGCCCACATGTTCTCTCTGTTGACCCAGAGCTTATTTTTCTTATCATTTCTGTCTCATTCATTGAACCCCGTCTTCTCCCCAGTGAGACTGTGCTATTTTTTTCCAGCCCATTGGCACCTATCTTGTTTCTGACTGCTGTCATGAAACAAACTTGATGACCCTTTCAGAAAAGATGACTGATCCCTGCTCCAGCATAAATCCTCAGCTTGCTTCTTGAATGTGCTTTAGGTGTTGTACCTACATTGCTGATTCCCACACTTAATACTTGTGTGTGATTATTAAATATCTTGTAAATAAATTACTCATATCAGACATTCTTGAGGCATTTGGATCTACCAGTCTTTCTAGGCCACTGATTTACTTCTCTTCACACCTCAGAGTAATCCCTATCTTTGTGAACTCTTGTGAAGATGAAAAGTTGTACACAGCAACCCCTTGGTAACTGTAATGTTCTGCACAAATGTAGGTTGTGTAATTTACTATTAACTAAAGTAAATTTAACCCAGAGGGGGAAAAGTGTTGATTATTGCAACCAAAGAGACAGTACAGGGGGTTAGGCTTTGCCTTACATGTAGCTGACCCGGGTTCAATCCCCAACCTGTGATCCCTGGTCACAGAATCAGGAGTAATTCCTAAGTACCACCAGGTATGTCCTAAAACAAAAAATGTTGGTTATTTTCTCACTGTAATAGTTACATTTGTGTTTCAGGTGCTTTTATTCTAGTGACTTGATTCTGGTTTTATCTTCTCATTATGTTGTACAAACTCTAATGGTCAAGGAGAACTTAATATGGGGGGAGGGTAGCGATGCAGGATTAGAATGGAATTTTACAAAGGTGTGAATGGAGACGATGGTGGTGAACTGGGTTTGGAATGAAGGACAGAACTTAGGAAAGATGTTGATTTGGGGTTGGATTGTGTTACAGGACAGTTGAGTGAGATCACTTTGAGATCAAGGTCAGCAGAAGCATGGAGGCAGATGTGTGTGTGTGTGTGTGTGTGTGTGTGTGCACTCAGGTGCAGAAACAGAGACAGAGAAGATTGTATTTTTGCTAGAGATTAAGGTGCTTATAGAAAATGGAATTGCACAGCTTAGTAGGGATCAACTGGCACCATCTCCCTTTCTTTTCTGGTGGCAGCAGGCACACCTGTCAGTGATTGAGAAGCCTTGTGGGGTGGCAGTGGCAGGTGGGCTACATGCAAGGCAAGTGCCCCACCACTGTTTTCTCTCTCAGCTTCCCTAGACTGCCCCCATCTTTTGAAGATCTGTAGAAGTATTTGGAACAGATTGGAAATCAGGGGTTTGTGACCTTCCTGAGGTAAATGATTTCTATTCTATGTAATTACCTATTTGTTCAACTGGACTTCAAATATAATATATTCTTCCTTAAAACACATACACACACATACACACATATGCACGCATGCACACATACCACATATCCATCCCTTACCTCTCTTACTGATTCTGTTGAGATGGAAGCGATCGTTAAAGCCCTAGCCAAACAGGGCGTTCAAACTCAATACATCAGGATCCTCCGTGAACTGTATTACGGATTCACTGCTAGGATCTCATCATTCTACAAAGAAGTGATCATCCATGTCAAGAGAGGGGTTCGACAAGGTGATACCATTTCACTGAAACTCTTCAGTGCCATCCTCAAGAACGTCATGTGATGACTGGAATGGGAAGAAATGGGAGTGAAGATAGACGGTCGGCAACTACACCACCTCTGCTTTGCTGATGAAATTGTTCTAATAACACCAAACATTAGCCAAGCAGCACAAATGCTGACCGACTTTGACCGTGAGTGTGGAAAGGTTGGACTACAGCTGAATCTCATGAAGACAATGTTTATGAGAAATGGTCTCGTTCCTGACATTCCATTGGCTCTCAGTGGAACAAACATCTCTGAATGCAACAGTTATGTATACCTAGGTCGAGAAGTCAACATGATGAATGACCTGGCACCTGAGTTGCGCAGGAAGAAGAGAGCGGCTTGGCAAGCCTTCAAAAGTGTCGAAAAAATAGCTAAGAGGACAAAGAACCTCAGGCTCCGGGCACATCTTTTCAACTCTACCATTCTTCCTGCATTAACATACGCCTCAGAGACCTGGGCCCTACAAAAACAGGATGAGAACACTATTCAGGTTTACCAAAGAGGAATCGAAAGAGCTATGCTTGGAGTATCATGCTTCACTCAAATGAGAGAAAGAATCCGGAGTTCCAACCTTGGTCGACAATCAAGAATCAGGGATGGTGTCTCATTTACCAAGGTATCGAAAATCAGATGGGCTGGACACATAATGAGATTTGGAGACGACCGCTGGACTAGAGCTAATATGGACTGGATTCCATGGGATGTCAAAAGACCGTGTGGCCGCCCACCTACAAGATGGTCAGTCTTCTTCGTCAAAATCCTGAACGATCAGTTTGTGGCTCTTTGTATTCCTAGAACTACCAGACGCCATTGGGCTACACTAGCACACGAAAGGGTCGAATGGAGATATTACTGGTGCCCGCTCATGCAAATTGATGAGTAACGGGATGTCAAGTGATCAAGTTACCTCTCCTACACACTCTCCTTCTTTAGAAAACTTTGGCCAAATACAGAGACAGAAAATGAAGACACATCTCTGATTGATTTGCCTGCTTTTGTGTTTGTCTTTCAAATGCCCCATATTCAGTGTAAAACTAAGTCCTGTAAAGTTTGCCTGAACATATTCAAACTGTGGCATCTTCTCTGATTTTGTTACGGCCACTCTGGGCCAGGCCAGCATTTTCATTCTGCAAAGGATTGCCCCCGTACCTGACTGGTCTGTCTGCATCCTTGCTTGCTCCTTAACCACTCTCTGCAGAGTATGAAGAGTGACTTAGGAAAGGAAAAACATAAACCAGATAGTGTTATTATTGGTTTAAAACCCCTGGTGACTAACTGGAGCATTTAGAATAAAAACATCAGCACCATTGCTTGACTTGTAATGTCACGGCAGACACTTCCAGACACTTTTTCTTTTTTTTTTCCTTTTTTTGGGGTGGTGGGTATTGGGGGTTCCAGTCACACCTGGCTGTGCTCAGGATCTCTCCTGGTTCTGTGCTCAAAGATCACTCTTCTGCTGCTCTGTCTCCCCGGCCTGCTGCAAGCTCCCCCACCTTCTCTATTCCTGGTTCTTCATATCGCCAGAGTCACCTCCTTCTGTCCTGATAGACTTTTATGCTCCACGTGATGATGCACCCTCAAGCTCAGTGCCAACCTGACTTCTTGGTATGCTGGTTTCAGCCAGTGTAAGAACCACGAGGAACAGAACCACCAGCTGAAGGAGCTGCTCTGTGTTGCTTCTTGCTCCTGATCTCTGGTTAGCACTCACCTTCTCTCCCTTGGATACACGGTCAGCTCCGTAAAGGCGGATCTTTATATTTTTGTGTTTGCCCTCAATGTTTGGCATTGACAAGGTACTCAGCAAGTACTTGGTGTTTGGGAGTGTTTGGCAGTGGTTCTCAGTGGTCTAACGAGGAGAATGCTAGTTCATGTTTTGCTGTGTTGTGTTTTTGGGGGGGGGGGGGGCGGGGAGCATGTGACTTACTCCCGTGGTGTCTCTCTGGCCCCACAATCCGGAAGCTGAGTTAATTGGAGAAATAGAAGCTGACATTGATGTGGTGGAAGAGAGAAGGAAATGCTGAGAGTGACATTGAGCAAGACTCATTGATGAGCTGGCATTGCTGTTTCCCTTGGTGGCGCCTGCGGGCAGGCTGCTCACCCATGTGGGGAGACATTCCCTGGGGCACTCTGAGGCATCTGTTTGGGGCACCTGGCTCCTGAACTTCAAGACAGATTCTGAAGTAAACACTGACAGTAAGGCTAGTGATGCAGTTTCGATCCCTCTGCTCAGAACACAGTCATATTTCCATGGGGGTCGGGCCCGGAGCAGGCGCTGGACTGTGCCTTATGGATTTGAAGAGGATGTGGGATGCTGCATTCTCAGCTGACAGGTTTTGTCTCTGTGCGTTTTTCTGTAAGCTGTCAGTTGCTTGGAATAAATATTCCTGATTTTTTTTGGGGGGTGGCCCCCAGCAGAGGTCAGGGGGCCCAGGTCCCCTTCTCTTGACCGTGCGGGCCATGTGGTTCTGTATTCTGTCCTGTCATACATGGGGCTCCCAGGTCCCGACCAGCTGGTGCTAGGGGCAGGTGGTTTCGTCTAGCCCAGGGATATGCATGTCAGCTTCTGCTCCAGTATTTGGAGCTAGCTTGGTGATCCTAAGTTTCACTTTCACTTCCAGGGGTGCTCAGGGGCTACTCCTGCCTCTGTTCAGGATTCTTTCCTGGCCGTGACCATGTGAGATACTGGTGATTTGAACTGAGGTGGATGGGAGGCAAGGCCTGAATCCCTGTACTCTCTCCAATACATAGTTCTAATATTTGGATAATTATAATCAATTTCCTTCATCTGGGCACAGCAATTTGGGATTAGATGGTTGGTTGGCTTCTTATAAGGATTGATCTTTTCTAGTATTCAAGTCTGTTTCTTTGTCAAAGTCTAGGGCTAAAGGCTATAGGTCATTGGCACAAATGCACAAAAGTCTAAACTTCCTGAAAGGATTTAAGGTTCAGATGGTAGCACTGTAGCACTGTCCTCCCGTGGTCCATCGATTTGCTTGAGTGGTCCCAGTAACACTCCATTTTGAGACTTTTTACTGTGTTTGGCATATTGAATACATCACAGGTAGCTTGCCAGGCTTTGCCATATGGGCAAGATACTCTTGGAAGCTTGCTGGGCTCTCCAGGAGGGGCGGAGGAATCGAACCCGGCTTGGCCGGGCTGGTTGCGCGCAAGGTAAAAGCCCTACCGCTGTGCTATCACTCCAGTTCAAATGGTATGTGTGATATATTTCCATTTGCGTTGCAATTGAACATGCTGTAACTATGCTGAGTAAAACCAAGAAAACTCAGAAAAACTTTATGCTTCCTAGTCTGTGTCTTGATACTGATGCAATTGATAGTATTTTTATCAGTTCTTCAGTGATTAGGCACCTGTTGGCCTTCTGAGACTTGAAATGGTCTAACCTGAGCAGGGACTGAGAGAAAATATGATCAAAGTCTGTCTTCAAAGAAAAAAATTTTAATTTATTTTTTTTTAGACACCATGATTTACAGTGTAGTTTACAAAAGCTTCTGACTTTATATATTGTGTTGCCAAAATGAGAATTACATAAAAGCACCTTGTCTTTCATTGTACATTTGTACATGTTGAATAACTGAATTCAAATTTGAAGGGGAAAGTGCATCTCAGCATTCCCCTGTGGAAAGAAGGACCCTTTTGTTCTGTATTTTAGCACTCTGATTTCCAAGACACAAGGCATGGATGTACATGCGAGCCCTCATTTCTGTGTTCTCTTAGCGTCTTCTGTTACAGTTCTCTTGTTCTCTTCTCCCACATAAACCTCCTCTTTTTCTCTTCCTCCTTCCCAGGTGAATGGGGGTATTGAGAACACATTAGAGAAGGAGGTGGTGCAGTATGACTACTACTCTTCTTATTTTGATATATTTGTAAGTATTTTCTCTTTCACATCTGTTCCCATGGGGATGAAACTAACCGATGGCAAATTTATTCTCAATAGAGGAAGACCTCAATGTCTGTCTCCCGCCTCTCTCTTTCTCTGTCTCTCTATCTCTCTCCCTCCACCCCTCTTTCTCTCTCTCTCTTTTCTCTCCCCTCCCTTCCAACTCCCACCCCTTGGAGCCTTTTTCTTTTACATAACTGTTGTTGAAACCACTGACATACTTGACAGACCCTAATCTCTGAAAGGAAAATTCACATAAGCCCTCAATGGAAATGCCTTTCTTTCCAGCCTTGAGATTTATTTCTACCTCAGTGTACTAAGAGTAATTCTGTACTCCATTTTTATCTAGTAGGGGTCTTTGAGGAAAGTTACTTGTGTGGGGGTGCATGTGATTTTGAACAACACTTGTGGGTTGTAGGTATGACACATATGTTTATTCAAATCAAGCTTGCATTTTCTTTCTAGGACACATTGTATCCTTGATTGGGTCTGAAGCATCTCCATAGGGTATCCTTGGAGCTAGGAAGAAGAGTAATCCTAATTCTAGAATAGTTTTAGGTATGGCGCAGTCAGCTAAAATTCACAGTGAATTCACCCAAATTCATTTAAAATCTTTTACTCGTATTTAGAAACAGCATAGTTGGGAGGAGACCTCGGTACCATATAGATCAGTGGTAGAATATATTTCTTGTACATGGGCTTAATCCCTAGTACAGCTTTTTCAAACAAAACTCTTAAAGGCTATTTTTATTTTTCTTCAAGGCAAAAAAATCTGGATTCAGTTGGCCACATTGTTACTCATTTCCTATCCTTCAGTATAGTCAGTCTAAGCTTCAGTTTGCTTATATGTAAAATCGAGATATTATCATAGTCTGAACAGCAAATGAAATAATACTTGAAAAGCACTTATCCCAGTGATAAGGATACTGTCTAGAAATTAAGTGAATGATACGGTGAATCTCTATCATTACCTTTTTGTTTCATTGTTTGATTTTTGGGCACAGCCAGCAGTGCACAGGGTTTACTCCTGCCTCTATGCTCAGGATGGATCGGGTTCTCAGGAGTAGATCTTGGCTGCTTCTCCAGGGAGTTCTGTGGACTTGGAGCACTTTCTGTGCATCATCTCTATATAGTGGGATTAATGCTAGTATTGTAGCTGAAACTGAGAATTCCCATATGCCACTTCTCGGGAAGACTAAAGGCCCCGCTTCCCACTCCCACAAAGGGAAACTGCTCTTCCCACTCTTCTCAGTTTGCTGCCAGATCACCAGCTACTCTGCCCTGCGTTTGCTGCTCACGGATTGCTCGTTCTCTAATCCTACCATTGTTTCTTATGGACACCAAGATTCCCAATGGAAATCCCCTGGAGACACTTCCCCCATTGGTCCTGTGTTTCTTGTCCCCATGCACAAGAAGCCTCTGTGTCATCACAGACACAGAAGGAGTCGGGCCATTATATCATCACCCGGCTTGCACATACTCCTTGCTCGGAGACCGGGAAGTGGCTCCTTCTGAATCCGCTGGTGTGAAATAGACTCCCATTTCTCAGGACCTCTGAGTGCTCACTCAGCCCTTCCCCGTCTAATCAGCCTCTTTTCCGCAACTGTTAGGTTGCTAATTATATGGGTAATAATGCATGAGAGCTTCCGGGAACCCTTGCAATACCTACTAATCCACTACTTTATGTGGGGCTTTGCTAATAATAGACTTGTATTTTCTGCTAGTGAATATTGCACCTGGCATGAAAAAAGTCAAACCTTTAAATATTTTCCTTAGCCTTGAGAGATCTGAAAAGTACATGTGAGGTCAAGTAGAGAGATAAACACAGAAAGCTCAGCTAGCTGCATACAGTTTCGCAAATTCTTCCACAAGGACTTACCAACCCTGTGAAGAGATACAACAGTTTTCACATTAAAAGGTAGATTTTTCTGTACTTACTGATTTTAATATTGGAGCTTTGTTATTGAATCAGTTTCAGCTCTGGAATTGTATCAACACTTGTGGCTTTTGTCTACATTAAAAAGAAATAAAATAAAATTAGATTTAAAAAAAGAAAAAGTAAACATTTATTTTACTTTTCTGTGGCTGATAATGAGAACTTAATTTGGATCCTTGTTTGGGCAACCTCCCGTGTATCATGTAAATTCGGATCAAGGACCCGCATGCTGGTCCAAACTAGTCTGTAGCTGACACCAGCTAAATAAATCACTGCAGTGAAGACAGTTTGATGGATCTGTCCTAAAACCAACTCACTTTGTTTTGCACTTAAACTTTAAAATTTTTTCTCCATAGCTTTTGGCAGTTTTCCGGTTCAAAGTGTTGATACTCGCATATGCCGTGTGCAGACTGCGCCACTGGTGGGCAATCGCGGTGAGTACGCTGGGTGGTATCTCGCTGCCCCAGTGTTGCTGGCCGTGGCTGGGCCACCACTTGACTGGGGCTTGTGTGTGTGTGTGTGTGTGTGTGTGTGTGTGTGTGTGTGTGTGTGTGTACCATACCTGTCAGCACTCAAGGCTGTGGTTAGGGATCACTCCTGGTGGGGCTCAGGGAGCCCCGAGTGGTACCCAGGATGGAGCCTGGGTGGGTTGGCCCCCACCTGCACTGCCTCTCCAGACACAAAGGTGTGGTTTTCATGCGGTTCAGATGCCTCTCGTTTTTTTCTGGGTTCCCTTCTTGACCTTCCAGAAGGTTTTCTAGCCCATGACTTCTTTCAGATGCTAATGAGTATACAGCCTTGTTTCAGATTCTAATGAATAAAGAATGTGCAGACCGGTGAGATGTAGGGGCCCAGCAATGATACTGGCCGAGCACCGACCCCTCAGCCCTCAGAGGGATGAGTTCATTCTCTTCTCACACAGATACTTGGAAGCCACCTCTTGGTGATTGCTCTGATCTACCGCTTCATGCTTTTTCTGTTCCCCCACCTCTACCCTGTTGTATTTCCCTTGCTTAAATCTTTTTTGTTTATTTGGTTTTGTTTGGGGGCCTCTCCTGTCAGTGCTCAGGACTTTAACTCCTGGCTCCGAGCTCAGAGGTCACTTCTGGAGTGCTTGGGGGACTGTATGGGATGCTGAGAATTGAGCTCGGCTAGCCGCATGAAAGAAGCCCTTCCCACTGTACTATTGCTCTGGCCCCAGCCCTCTCTTCACTCGTAAAACTTCCTTTTCTGGTTGCCTTCAGGCTTCTTGAAGGCAGGCGGATTTTATTCATCCCATTCCTGTGCATCTGACCCCAGCTTTGGTACTGTATTCACTCTCAATAAATGTTGATTGGTCAAAAGAACTATAAGCAATTGTACACAGACAGTTTTTGCCATGTTCAGACATCTGAACGTGCTCTCTTTCTAAGGACTCCATTAAGGCAGGAATGCAGGGGGCCATTGCACCCCCAGAAGAGGGTGCTGCTTTAGGAATGTGCGAGCCTGGGTCCCCTGTGAGGCTGGGAGTGAACCAAGCTGCTGGTCCTGAGCTAGAGGCCCCCACATGCTAGAACATCTCCCCTCACCCAGCTGCCGGCTGTTGTCTGTGGCTCCAACCTGAGCTGGCAGCATCAGCCCAACTGGACCCCTGCTCCAGAATTCCCCCACCCGTGGCACAGAGCCACAGAGCCATGATGGTGATGGACCTTCAGAGGCTCTCGGCTAACATTGCCCTGGGGACATTCTGTTGGCCACAGTCTCAGCATGTCACGTGGGCTTGTCTCTGCCTCCGTTTTGTCTCAGAAAAATGGTTGATATAGAAGTGTGCAAAAGAAAGCGTCTTTACATCTATTTTGAAATTGGCAAAGGGACAACTCCAATTGAGCGCATCTGTTTTCTTATTTTGGGCTCTACTGTGTTTGCAGAGAGGCCTGGGCAGCTGGGAGACTGCAGCCTAGACGGTAGCTAGGGTCAGCCTAGCTGCCTCCTGGCTACCTCTCCTGTCTGGCAGTGCTCTGTGTGTGTGTGCTGTTTGCAAAGAAGCACAGACTGCGATTTTGTCAGGACACAGGAGGTGTGGCCTCATTGTCAGTGTTGGCTGAGATTAGTATTCACTCTGTTGGTTTTGAACTGTTCCCTGAGTGATCCTGAGGGATGGGCTCACCTACAGGGGACTGCTGGACTTTGTTTCATTGGCCCTGGCCCTGTCACTGTGTAGATAGTGACATCTGCAGGGACCCTGTGCTTCTGTGGCACAGGCCCCGTTTGAGTGGCCCTGGGTTCTGTGTCTTTCAGCTGACGACGGCAGTGACGAGTGCCTTCTTACTAGCGAAAGTGATCCTCTCCAAGGTACGGCCACCGTTTCTCCTACACAGTTACAGGTGCGAAGCCCCGTTTCCCCACTGTGAGCTCATGGTAACTGCATTTCTATCTCCCGGACACATCTGTTCTTCCAGCTTTTCTCTCAAGGGGCTTTTGGCTATGTGCTGCCCATCATTTCATTCATTCTTGCCTGGATTGAGACGTGGTTCCTGGATTTCAAAGTGTTACCTCAAGAGGCAGAAGAAGAAAACAGTAAGTTTCTCTTCAAGTTAGTCTCCTGAGACTGGCGAGGCTTTGGGCTGGGCCAAGAGAACCGCAGAAAGAGAGCGCCTGCCAGCCCCAGCGTGTCCACTCCTCACGCTGTCCCTGGCAGAGACAGAAGGACTGGGTGAAAGGACAGTGGCAGAGTGCAGCTCCTGCTCAGGAGAGAGGCAGGCTGGCTGGGAAGCAAGTGTGAGCCTTGAGCAGTGACAGAAGCAGCCAAGCCCCTTGCTCAGACAGCCTGAGCGGGTGCGGGTTGCTGAGGCCACACGCCTCTCTGGACAGTGCGTTGGGGGAGCAGAGAGAGGAGCCCTAGCTTAGACGGGTGGAGACAGCAGCTCAGGAGGAAGCTCAGCATGGTTTTGCAGGGCTGTACTGACTGCCCGCAGGGCATTGTTAAGATGGCTCTGCCAGGAGATGGCCTTCAGGAGACATGGAGCTCGACTGCCAGCCACCTCTTCCAGTGTCTCCCTGGTGGCCACCATGGCTGCAGACCCTTGGGCCGAGCAGACCATATGGCCGCTTCTGTCTGTGAGGAGTTCCCACCCAGGTCACCGGATACAGTGACCTTTGTGGAGCTTCGTGCCCTCCAATCCTCGCAGGGCATCTGAGCCGGTGCCAATACACACAGTATTTAGTGACCCCTCTCTGCCCTCCTTTGCCCTGTCTAATAGAAACCAGCACAGTACAGCCTCCAATGGCAAAAGGGAAAAATCCCCTTCTGAGTGCTTTTGGGTAGGAAAATGTCAGTGACAAGGAAGAAGCCCACATGAGAACTCTGTTGCAAGAGTTTGAGAACACTTACTAATCAGGCCACCCATGTCTTCTGTGCTTGCTCTCTCTTCTCTTCTTTTGTGAGAACTTACAGTGGTGAAAGAACGGTAAAATTCCCTTGAATTCGCATCTTTAAAAATGGTATAGGTGTTGGGTAGCAAAGTAGAATTCAGCGCACATGGATGCTAAGTTGAACTTTATTAAATACGTATCAGACCTGAATGGGCTGAAGCGATAGCACAGCGGGTAAGGCGTTCGCCTTACAAGCGGCCAACATGGCCGACCCGAGTTCGATTCCTCCACCCCTCTCGGAGAGCCCGGCAAGCTACCGAGAGTATTGGATATGCCAGACACAGTAACAACAAAGTCTCCAATGGAGACGTTACTGGGCCCGCTCGAGCAAATCGACGATCAACGGGAGGGCCAGACCTGAATGCTGTATAATCCAAATTCACAGTGGCTCATAAAGCAAAGCACGTGGTGAGCTTTTAGTTTGGCTTTGGGGGCCACATACTGCGGTGCCAAGGGGATACTTCCTGGCTCTGAACTGAGAAATCACTCCTGGAGCTGCTCAGGAGCCCAGGGGGGTCCAGGGTATTGAACCTGGGTCGGCCACATGGAAGGCAAATGATCTATGTGCTGTACTATCGCTCTGCCCCACGAAGTCATAAGCAGCTGTTACTGTCACTGAGCGCGTGCTGGGTAGCTGTGCTGGCCTGGTGCTTCCTACCGCTCTTCAGTGTTGACACAGCTTCTGCCGCAGAGCTCACAGCCCCGCCCTCTTTCAGGGTTAGTGTCTGTGAGGCCACCACACATGCTCCCACTTGTGTTTAAAGGACACCGCTGGAATGGCAGTTTTCTGTGCCACATTAGTTATTTGCCCCTTCGTGAAAGAGCTTCCCAGATTGCTGACGTGGACGTGCACTGACCATTCCATCATGGACTGGTGCTTTGGTTTCCCTTCCTTCTCCTGTTCATGCTGTTGATTCTTTAGGGAGGGAAGGATAACCATGGGACAGGTGCTGTGCATTTGGGGTCAGGGAGTCTCATGGGGAATAGGCCCACTTCAAACCTGTTGGAGCCTGGCCTTTCCTAGTCCTCATTCATGGTTTATCAATTAAAACCAGTTGAGATATTTTCAGCACGCGGCTCGGGAGAGTATGTAATAGTAACACCACTTTTGGTGATGGATCTCACCAAGAAGCGCTGGAACATGGCGTCATTCCCAGCATCTGAATTTCTTCTCTTCCAGGACTCCTGCTAGTTCCGGATGCTTCCGAGAGGGCACTGCTGATACCCGGCGGCCTTTCTGATGGTCAGTTTTATTCTCCTCCCGAGTCTGAAGCAGGTAAGGTGCTTTTTAGTGATGGTTTTGCCCAGCATTCAAATGCTCAGCAGTCCCTCCTCTCTTTGGACCTCTGAGTTCATTTAACTGCACTTAACATACCGGACATCTGGGATATGAGAGTAACTAAGAAACCGTCTTGATGTGCCCTGGGTGAAGCACAGGGAGGTAAGAGTGACTACGATAGAGAGATGCACACACTGCTTTCTGACCTGCTCCGTAGAGGACAGGAGGGCAAGGGCAAGGTCTCAGTGCCCCTTTACTCTCTGCTAGCCCCTAACCTGAGCTTCAGGATTCCCCACGTGTAGGAACCTTAAATCAGAAACATCTCAGGGGTCCCAGCCCCTTTCTTGCATCCCATAACCCATTACTCACTAAGCCACATTGGTTGTTTTTATTTCTTTTTTGCAGAATTGTCTCATTATTATTTTTTTTAGTTTTTATTAGTGAAATACCGTGAGGTACAGTTGTAGACTTACAAATTTTTGTGTTGGGTTTCAGTTATACAATGATCCAATACCCATCCCTCCACCAGTGCTCATTCTCTACCACCACTGATCCCAGTATCCCTCCCACCACCCCCCCATCCCCTCCATCCCACCCTGCCTCTGTGGCAGGGCATTCCCTTTTGTTCTCTCTCTCCTTTTGGGTGCTGTGGTTTGTAAAAGAGGCATTGAGTGGCAATCATGTTTGGTCTGTTTCTGCCTCTGTCTGATCCACGTGATGCCATGTCATCGCTTTTACCTCTGTCCAATCTCAAGGACTGGAGCCTCCTCCCATTCCTCCCCCAGCAGCCCCCAGAATGCCCTGTGAGAGAGAACAGGTACATTTTCTTCCTAACCACTCTATGATATAAAAGTCTCGCTGAGGGGAAGTTGGTTTTCCAATGTCACACAAGGACTGAGAGCTCAGAGGGTGCATAGGATGTGTGCCCCGGCTCCATGCCCATACCATATTTAAGCTTTTAGCATGAATGAAAATGCAAACTGGATGCATTTGCTCTAGCCCAGAGGTCCTCAGTGGTATAGCAAGCAGGCGTGACACACCCAGGGGTGATGGTGCTGGGGCCCAGGGTTGATCCCTGGTACCTCTGGTCTCTGAGCACCACCCAGTTTGTGCCCAAAGAAAGTCTTGGGTCTCTAACCTGGCAGAAGCCACCTTTAACCATTGTATTGAGTTTCTAGTCACATCTCTGGTGTACTCTTCTCTTTTTAGCTTTTGGGTAACATTTGTGTCTCAAGACATTATGTGTCTTGCATTTTCTACCCTAACTCTACCCCCACTGCAATCAGTGTCTCACTGGGACAATCAGAGGGACCTTCTTACCCCTACCCACTCCTTCAGTCCCAGCAGGTGTGGAAAGGCATCCTTTCAGTCTGCCTCCCTCCCTCCCTCCCTCCCTCCCTCCCTCCCTCCCTCCCTCCCTCCCTCCCTCCCTCCTTCCTTCCTTCCTTCCTTCCTTCCTTCCTTTCCTTTCCTTTCCTTTCCTTTCCTTTCCTTTCTCTCCCTCTCTTTATCTCTCTTGCCCACTTGCTGCTTTATTGCTTTCTTTTTTCTTTTTTTCTGTTTTTTCCCCCTATTGGGGGGTAATGGGGGGTACATCCAACAATGTTTAGGGCATACTCCTGCCTCTGAGCTTAGAGATCACTCCTGACAGGGCTCAGGGGACCATGTGGGGTGCCAGAGATCAAACTTAGTTTGGCTGTGTGCATGGCAAGTGCCCTAACCATTATACTATCACTCTGGCTTCTAAACTAGATTTCTGTATGTCTTAGGACTCATTCTTTAAGAAAAAATAAATTTAATTTAAAAGGTTAAATGTCTGTGCTATATTTCATACTTTTATATAGCTTTTTATCTTTCAGACTAAAAATTTCTCAGCACTAATATCTTTTAGCTAGAATTTGAAAACTGGGATAATAATGCGAGTTATATCACTGTCACTATCTTCCCATTGTTCATCAATTTGCTCGAGTGAGCCCAATAACATTGTGAGACTTGTTATTGCTGTGTTTGGCATATCGAATACGTCATGTGATGGGTATCTTGCCAGGCTTTGCCGTGCAGCGAGATACTCTCGGTAGCTTGCTGGGCTCTCTGAGAGGGGCAGAGGAATCAAACTCGGGTTGTCCAGGTCGGCCCAGTCGGCTGCATACAAGGCAAACGCCCTACCCACTGTGCTGTCGCTCCAGCCCACAAGTTATATCATCTCAGTAATATGAGCAATAAATGAGCAATAATATGAGTTATGCCACTCAGGTTATGCCATCTCTTTTCGCTTGGGGGTTTGTTTGGTTTTCCTTCATTTTATCTTATGAAAGCACTGTGATTCACAGTTATCCATAGCTGGGTTCTAGACGTAGTGTTCCCTCACCAAACCCTTCCTCTCCCCGCAAAGCTCACCATCTCAGCAGGCACCATTCTATTTGCTCATTAAGTTTGGGTTTCGTGATTTCAGTGTTTTGTTGTTGTTATTGTTTGTATTTTAAGAAAACAGCTTTTATTTGGAGGTTCTGAAAGAGAAGATGGAGAAAAAGTAGTAGAGAATAGAGATTAACATGGGGGGGGGGGAGGGAGGCGAGGGCTCCTCCGCACATCCCAGCATTAGGTAGGAAAGTATGAAAGTACACATCTCAAGAGGGGAGATGCAGGCGACACATGTGCTCGGGCACCACATATGCTCAGCCACGTGGACACAAGAAGCTCATGGGCTCGGGCAGCAAATGTGCCGATTTTAGTGTTGTTGATTCTCATTTGGATATGTGGTTCCCCCGATCCTTAATGTATATTGACCCTTGCCCTCCCTTCTTATCCATTGCTTCCCATCTGACATCAGCTTTCTGGAGTGGAATCTTGACTTCCAGCCCATCACTTTTATCACCATCTAGTGGCGGTTGAACGTATTCCCACGACCGTGATGCTAAACAGGAAGAGACTTTCCCCGTGTCCACTAGGTGGCTGCTTTGTTCACAACAAAATCCATACAGTTAGTATGTCTAGCAGACCTGTTTTCTGGCTTATTTTTGATCAAACCAAATACTAAATATGTCAAACACTTTTAAAATATATGTCTGTTGACATAATCACGTGATGTTCATCCTGTATTCGATTCGTTTCACAGTTACATATTGGGAAGTGTTAGATTAACTGGTGTATCTGGGATAAGTCCCACTGGGTTTCAGCTGTCCTGTACATTTCTGGATGTGATTCGCTGCACTACAGTCTGTCTTTAGTTTGCTCGTGGCTTTGGCTTTGAATACAGTTGGCCTAGGAGCTGGGAATTGTTTCCTTCTCTGTTTTCAAATGACTCTTTTTTGTAAAGGCTCAGTATTGTTTTTCTTTCTTTAAATCAAAAAATAGGCTTACGGTTGATTTGTTGACACAAGAGTCTTCGTGCTGTTTCCAGCCTCACAGCACACTTGAAAGCAGCTGGGAAAGTGCCACACTCCCACCTCTGAGCTCTGTGTCTGGCAGCCTGGGCCTGTCCACGGTGCCCACGTAATGGACTGTGTGGGTCCCTGGCTCTGAGGTCACAGCATAGAGCTGGCCACCTTCCAGACCCTCCCATGAGATGCCCCCGAACAGGCATGGCTTTCACAGGATGGCTGTGTGTAGGCGAGTGTCTGAAGAGACAGCAGGGCCCACAATGTGGACAAGTAGGCTGCAGTTCATGCACGCTGAGGGACAGGGAGCTCAGGGGACACAGGTGGTCTGAGAAGAGAGAGCCGACGAGCAAACAGGGTGCAGGTAGAACCAGGATGCGTGGAGGCAGCAGGGCCGCTGTGCTGGCGTGAGACCTCCTGTGCCATCCCCTCCCACACCAGGCCTGTGCAGTGGGTACACATGGGCTAGAGGACCGAGGCCCTCACATCCCAGTTTGCGGCTGCTAGGTTTCCCAAGAAAGTCTCCTGGGCCCAGCATTCTCAGGAGGAGAAGATTTTTAATTATGATTTAGCTGTTTTTTTTTCTTGGGGGATGGGGGCAAGACACACCATGGCTTATTCCTGGCTCAGGGGTCCCACTCAGCAGTGCAGGGCTTCCACCTGGCTATGTGCTTACAAATCGCTCCTGGGGGTGCTCAGGGGACCATATGTGGTGTGGGATCTCATGGGGCCCAGCGCCTGTCAGGCCAGTGCCTTCATCCAGTCCTACCTCTCACACGCTGAGGCACTTCTTGACTGGTTCTCTGTAGGCTTTTTCTGAGTTCTTGAGTCCATTGTGGTAACTCATCGTACTAAGAGTTCACCTATTTCTTCTGAATTGTCTAATCTGTAGATACAAATTGTGCACAATATTATTTTTAGGATCCCTTTAAATTTGTGTATAGAGGCTGGAGCAATAGCACAGTGGGTTGGGTATTTGCCTTGCACGCGGCCAACCCGGGTTTGATTCCCAGCTTCCCATATGGTCCCCTGAGCACTGCCAGGGGTAAATCCTGAGTGTAGAGCCAGGAATAACCCCTGTGCATCACTGGGTATGACCCAAAAGGCAAAAAATAATAAATAAATAAATAAATTTGCGTATAGTTGATTGTGACGTTCTTTTTTCCCCTTGGTTTTAATAAATTTGAGTCTTCTCTCATTTCCTCTCGGTAATTTTAGCTTGTGGTTTCTTATCTGTGCTGATAATTTTGTACTTTCTCTATTACACTTGAGTTATGTTTATTAATTCTCTTCTTTTTATGGTTAATTTTAGATATTTTTCTTGTACAGATGTTTGAAACTATAAGTTTAGCTTTATGAATTTATTTAACACCTTGTGTGAATTTTGATAGTTGTGTTTTTAATTTCATGCATCTCTTGACTCTGAGATATGTAAGATGTTTACATGCGTATCTCTTTGTGTAAACCCTAACTGGTACATTTTTGACTTGTTATAAGTGCATATTAATATTTTAAAACAAATTTGAGGAATTTGGGCAATATACACTGCATGTATGTTGCTCTGTGTGTTAACTCAGAGGTCCCTGAACACCACTCACATTTTCTTGTTTTGGTTGTTTTTTTTTCCCTCTTTTTCCCAAGTAATTGGGCTGAAAAACATCTATTGATTCTTTGCCAGTGCAAGTATTCCCTTCATCTCTTTAGTGTATATTTTACTTCAGTTTTTGCACATTTCTACTCCAGATTTGGTTTTTGGTTTTTGGTGGTTTTATTTCTTTTTCTTTTTTTTCTTTTTTACATATTCTCTTTTTTGTAATTATTGTTTTCTCCTTGAGAATCTGAGTGTATTGGTATAATATTGCTCTACTTTTCTTTAATTAATTACTTATTTTGTGGTGCCAGAGGTCAAACCTGTGAAGTCACTCGGACACTGTCCCTGTGCCATACCCCTGCCTGCTTTTGACTTTTTAAACATGGTTTCCAGTAATTGCATCTTTATACACAGATGTTTTAGTGTCGTTTTCTGCTCAGGAAAACTTAGTTTGTACTGAGTTGCCTGTTTGTTTCCCTGAGAAACAAACAGTTTTAGTTCTTTTCCTATCTTGCAGGTTTTTTTTTTTCCATTAGTGAATCACTGTGAGGTACAGTTACAGACTTACAGACTTTCATGCTTGCGTTTCAGTCATACAATGATCGAGTACCCATCCCTCCACCAGTGCCCATTTTCCACCACCAATGGTCCCAGCATCCCTCCTACCACCTCCACCCCGTCCCCTCCACCCTACCCCACTTCTATGGAAGGACATTCCCTTTTGCTCTCTCTCTCCTTTTGGGTATTGTGGATGTGTTGCAGTCTTTTTTTGAAAATGATTTTGATAAAAATGTACCAACTCAAAATTCTGAGTTGGACCTCCTGAAGGATCCTGGTATTGGTGTTCATTTAGCAGATTCCTGGGGCAAACTCTGTGCAGTTATAACCCCTGCAGTGTTTGCTTGCTGATGTCTCACAACAGCTTGTATTTTTTTTCTTTCTTCAATTTGTCAGTCTTGCTCCATGGGTCCGGCTCCTATGTCTACAGAGCTTAATGGTGGCCTGTGACTGAACAGAGATTAAGCTCATTCACATCAAGTATGTTTATGCTTTTGTTTCTGATTTTTGTGTTTTGGGGTGAACAGACCCAATGGTGCTCAGAGACTAACCCTACCCGCCACCCAAGCACAGGGGCCACTTCTGGTGATGCTCAGGGGAGTTCCTGCCTGAGAACACATGGCCATCAGCCCTGGAGCTGTGTCTCATGCCTCACCCTAGTCAGTTCTTAGTCACCTTTGACCCCTACCCATGTGTATGTATATGCCTTAGGTGACATGTTCACACACTTTGAGTCTCCCCTTGTCTGTGCCTTTGCTGAGCCTGTTCGTGTTCCCTCTATGTGTGCTCATAGCCGGGGGCTGGTTGGCACCTCGGAGTCTGCACTCAGCGTGTCCAGCCAGTTTAGTCAGCATTTGCTGTGGCCCTGACCACAAGCTTTGAGCTGCAGAGCTTCTGGCCCTCTGCTCCGTCACCCCATAGAACATGCTGGTTCCTACCACTCTCCCTGCACTCTCTCTAAGCTCTTGTTTCTCTTCTGGGTCCTCACAGCAGCACATAGTCTCATGTGGCTCCTGCCCAGGGTCTCCGGTGGTGGGGGAGAAAAAAGGGGAGGCCAGGGGAAGCACCTCTTCTGTTCCCGGAGTTCTCTCCTTTCCCAGACAGAGTCACATTCTGGTGGCCTGTGTGTCTTTGGGCACTTCCCAAGGGTCAGGCTGGTTCCGCTTGTGCAGTTTCAGTGGCTTGTCCAGATTGATCATCTCCTAATAGAAGCCCAATGGAGATCTTGTGACATTCTTTTTGTAATTGCATCAAGCTTATATACTCCTTGTGTTTCATCTAAAAATCTGTTATTTAGACACCCCCCCCCCCCCCCCCACCGCCCATTAATCCATTAATTCCAAACATAGCAGTTGTTGGTCACAAGCTGTTAGCCTGACCATCCTCCTCACTTGTGTGTGGAAAAACAAGGCAGTTAAACCGCCCCAGGCTGCCATCCACAGCAGTTAGCTGGGGCCTGGGGCCTTCCAACCACATGGTGCTTATCTCTTTATCTTACCACAAACTTACACTGATTTATGTGGCATTTGTGAGGTTAAAACGTGGAAGAATCTTTTCTCGGGATTCTGAACAGTTCATTCTTCTGGATCACGTTGTGTTCTTGCCTATCACCCAGGCGAACATTCTCATAGGAGGGGGAAAAAATCCTCTTTTGAAGTATGTTTTTTTTTTTTTAGTGAAATACCATGAGATAACTGAAGTATGTTTTTTAACAAGAGCAAAGCAGTAGCCGACAGGCTGCTTCTCAGGGTTATCCCAGCCTGCAGTCGTGGTCTTCACTTCTCCATTTTGCTTTCTTTCTCTCACTTTGCTCATGTGATACTTGCTTTTTATAAAAATGTGGCAAGAACAAAAGTGAAAGATTACCTGTCCTTCAAACAGTTCAGCAGCCTCCATTTGTTGCCTGCTGGTTTCCTATGTGTAATTTCACATAATTATGGTCATCTTGCCTATATAATTTATATCCTGTTTAAAAAATTGTTATTTAAGCATAATTACAAAATCAATCTGTTGTAAAATTTTTACCCTATCATAAATTGGTCATTTTCTTCTAGTCTATTTGATCAGTACATGGCTATTTCAGGGGTTGTTTTGGAGGCATGCACACCTGGCTGGGCTCAGGCTTCCTTCCAGGTTGGGATCAGCTTCTGGTTGAGCTCAGGGACTATATATGGTGCTGGGGATTGACTTGAGGTCGACCTAGTACAAGGCAAGTACTTTACCCCAACCATCTCTCTGGCCCCGATAATTTAGTTCTTTTGTTGTTGTTGTTGTTACCAAATATGATATTCTAATTAATGGTTTTTCATCAAATCCAGACTATAACATAATCCTTTTCTGTGTTTAGTTAGTCTCTTGCTTTATAACATAAATATTTTCCATGTTTTTATTAGCAATATAAACACAATTTTAAGTGGAGATATATATATATATATATTAATTTGGGGGTACATCCAGCAGTACTTGGGGCTTATTCTTGGCTCTCTCCAGGCAATGTTCGGGGACCCTGTGAGATGCTGGGGAATGAACCCAGGTCTGCTATGTGCAGCTGTGTCCTCTACCCACTGTACTGTTGCTCTGGCTCTGATATAAGATATATCTTAGAAATATGATACTTATTTAACTTTTTTTCGCTATACAATATTTCTTGAAAATATAATACTTCTTCACTTCTCAGCTATATACTTTTTTAGAGGTAAAATGACATAAGAGAAAATAACATAAGAAAGGGAAGACAAACATCTCCTAAAACTGAGTTCAGAATTAAATGACTGCATCAGTGCCTTACTGTGTGGTTTGAGACATTGTGGCCAAGAGTGGTCAGTGCCAGTATGGTGGACCCTGGTCTCATTCACGGCATCAGGAAATCTTCACAGTTGCACTCACTGGGGGTACTGATTTTTTTAAAAAGTATACTGTGATTTGTTAAAAGATTTGTTCCATTATTTGTTGCATATATTTCTTGAAAAACATCCAGACATGTTTTTTTTTTTTTTTACACCTCAGCAGAGAGGTGAAAGAGGACGAGCAGTGGAGAGTAATGCTGGGATTGTGAATATTTTTAATGGTATTTAGGTGAAATTTCCTTGGCTGATAAGTCCTGTATTAAGGGTTTTTCTCCTACCAGAAATAAAGTAAAACTTTGTATCACAGTTGCATTTATGTTAATCAAGACCTTTTGAGGAGTCAACATGTGTATCTCACACAGATAGTATGGCTTCAGTGAAATTATTTATTGCATTAGTAAAATGCCGACATTTTCCCTACCATGTAGGATCTGAAGAAGAAGCTGAAGAAAAGCAGGACAGTGAGAAACCACTCTTAGAATTATGAGGACAACTTTCCTTAAAGTAAGTCTTATAATTTCTTCTGTAAGGAAGTGCATAACTTTAGAGCATTTTCTGTGAGTACTTTCAAAGATTCAAAGTATGTGAGTGGAAGTAGCCATCTTATTTGCATGAAATTTACTGGTCACATATGAATAGAATCTATAACACTTTCTGGATAGGCTAAAATTTGTGAAGTGTGAAAAGTACTTGAAATTACCAAATTAAAAATCAGGATGAGCTGTGTTTGCTTACTAACTCAGAATATCTCTGTCAGGCATCACTTAGTTGTGAACCCTTACTTATGTACCCAGGATGTCATGTGCTGTGAGGATATAGCTGTCCTGGGGGGTAAACGGGCCGGGTCACACGGTGGTAAGGGGCAGAGACAGCACCAGTCTCGGCATCCACTGGAGCCCTTGCACACCCCTTTCTCTCAAGGGTTTTGGAGAGTCTTATATAAATGAAAGATGTCTTCCATTCAGAGAAGAGGATTTGTGAACTCCTAATGGGATAGTATTAAATCCCTTCAGATAATTGAAGAAGTTGTATTAACTTTGGAAATACCAGGCAAACACAAGGGAAATTGTAGAAGCAGCTGCTCCGCTTCCTCATTTGAGAGTAAAAAGAGCAGACCTGGAAAATCTCCTCTTAAAAGAAAGACATTTTATAACTATGGTGATGGAGATTAATGAGGTTCATTGTGGTGGTCATTTCCCAGTATATACAAATTTTAAACTGTTAGGTGGTACACCTGCAATTAATGTCATGTTATATGTTCTGTGTCAGTTATATATTAATAAAAGGGGGAAAGGAGTTTGAAAAAAATAAATAAACGGAACAGTGATTGTGTGGTTAGGAGTTGCTGCTGGTGGCAGTCAGCTTGTGATATTGGGGTGGATGAAGGCTGGGCCCACACCAGCACTTGCAACATTCTTTTTTCTACTAGGGTGATTGAGATGTTATACACTAATGGGGCATGTGAATTATTGGTCCTTTTTTTCCTTTTCTTTTTTCTTTTTGTTTCGGGGCCACACCTGGTGGTACTCAAGACTTACCCGGGTGGTGCCCAGTGGTTCTGCACTCAGGGATCACTTCTGGAAGAACTAAGGGGACCATATGTAGATCCAGGGACTGAAACTAGGTCAGCTGCATGCAAGGCAAGCATCCTACCTGCTGTACTATTGCTCCAGACCCGATAGTTTGTCCTTTTCTAAAACATTCCAAAATAAGTTCTTCTGTATTGGTTATGCCCGTGGTTCTTCCTATAACATAGATGATCTTCACTATATAAACTTTGTTATGAAAGTATATGGCCAGTAGTAACATTTTTACTATTTACATCTCAAACGCTTGTTTTCTCTCTTTTTCTAAGTGTGAAAAAATTTCAATGAGGAAGAAAAGCACCACAGCCAGGTGTCATCTGATTGAAAATTGAACGGTGACATCCACTGCTATTGAATGGTTAAAAAGAACTTATTTATTGTAATACCTCACAACACTGTACCATTTCCACATATGTTCAGTTGCCTGTCTGTGGCTGGTAGGGCAAAGTAATGACCCACCTGTCGAGTCAGTGAGACTGAGTCTCACTGGTGAAGAGTCGCAGAAAAACCCTGCGCTGCATTCCTAATCAAAGACTTCTCAATGTATGGGAGTAACATTGTTTTCAGTAAGTAAATTGTCTTCTTACTTGGATTTGCAGAATGAACTTCTTTAGTTTCATGTCTCAGACTTATTTTGTTTTTCTTTTTGTTAATGCTCTACATTTCCCTTGTGTTTTCTTAAATTCATGCACATGCACTCTTTGTACAATTTTAAAAAATAATAAAACCAACATATCAAAACCATTTGTTTAATTTTTTTGTTTTTCACTGTGTTTGACCTAAAGTGTTAGAACTGCAAAAGGAAGTCTAAGAAGAATGGTGGATACGTGTAAACTGTTCCAAACATTCTGTATTATTTTTGTCTTAAAATATTTTTTTCTCATAGAGTATGGCTATGAAATAGTCTGAACACTCATATTTTAAAACCACACTGAAATTTCTATCTTTGTGACTCCTTTGTGTCTGGCTAATTTGAATGAAAATGACAATGTTATGAGGTGTTTCTTCAAACATAGTTGTGTTAGTACATCCTGTCAACACAACCTTTTAGTCTTCTCTCATCTTTCAAAAAAATGTAATTGTGGATACTGCTCGTGATGCTGATTTCTGTGTAAACTGTCTTTTAAGCATATTTAACTCATTATTACGCATCTTCTAAAAATGGGTCAAGTAGCAGAAATATGCCTGGGTGGCTGGTTGGGACGCAGGGGCCTACATATGCAAAGCTCCTTACAGTGGGAACAAGGCAAAGATCTCCAAAGTCTGGACGGAACACCGAAATCCCAGGAACACAGTGGCTGTCAAGAGAACAGCCTGTCTCGGGAGTAGATTGTGTATACTCCAGGCCTGCAGACTGCTAAACTACGCATCAATGTGTTGATTGAACGTGAGGAAGGAGCCATACAGGCAGATTGAGCTGACCTGGTCGGTACCACCATCCTCAGAGGAAGCCAAGACTAACCCAGAAGTTGGCTCTGACAGCATAGTCTAAGGGGAAAAGTCCATGATTTAAACATGTTGCCATTTCACTGAAAGCCCAGAATGGGAATCTCAGTAGTAGCTGTCCTCCCTGGAGTTGTGGAGACTGACCCAGAGACCTGGGTACCCACTCTGTACCTTTCTTGGCTGGGAAGAGTGCGACAGTGTTGGACTATAGACTCATGTTGCTGAATAGTCCTCTTCTAATTGAATTTAATCACAGGTTTATTGGATGTTCGTGCCTTCCAGTAAGGCATGCTCAGAATATCACTGTAGTAACGACCACTAAAGAAACATATGAGCCTGAGAGTAAAATGTTTGCCTTGTATATGGTTGATCTGGGTTCTATCTTCTAAACGACATACAAAATTAAACCTTGCCATGTCTGATGCCTGAGCACAGAGCCAGGAGGAAGCCCTGAGAACTGCCAGATGTGGCCAGAAAACCAGAAGAAATAAATGAATAGCAAGACTCATATGATTCAGTAGATGACATTTGACTGTGTAGCTGAACTCAGAACCTCTGTCTAGCTGGGTACTTGTTCAGAATCACCGTCCCATGGTGACCTGGGGGTCCTCTGTTGCACTCAGGGCTGGTCACTGTCTCTCCCAGGTGGTTGACAATGGATGAAGGAACAGGGGCCACCAGGCTGGTTGGTAATCAGTGGTCATTTATTCAAGTCTCACAGCATTAATTATAAAGAAACCATGAAGGGTTGGGGATAGTAATTACACATAGGTGTGATTGGACTTTATCATAAACAATTAACAGATGTAAAGCCCTTCCTTCAGGGGAAGGTCTAGGAGACCCACCCACGGACAGAATCTCATTTAGGGGCTTCAGCACTCTAGATTCCTAATAGGATATCCACCTATTAAATCATGTTAAATTTGCTTCTTACTAATATTTCTAATGATTTTGTATGAATACAGTAAGAGATACAGTACGCTTAAAGTGTTACTCTTCCCGGGGACATCTCTCTATATATTCCAGACAACAGTCCTTGGGCCAGATTAGCTTTTCCTAACCCCACCAGGGTCCTTATTCAGTTACTTCTTTTTGGGTCATGTTAGAGTTTGTTCCATGACCATGCTTTGAATGTATTATACTTCTTATAGGGCTTAGTCTGTTCCTTCTTGAAGTTAGGGTATCCAACAACTTGTTCTGGGTCTATCAAAGTCCTATTACATGACCCTTTCATGGGTTGCTAAGAACTAAGGGCAACTGAGGCTTATGTTGTGTAAATATGACAGATGCCCAGGAGTAAATATTATTCGGAGCCAATTAACTCCCATGTTACAAAAGCATAGCATTAACTGTCTTTCAATGTGCAAAAAGGACATTGCCCTAAAATAAACTAAGCAAAGGACATAAAGGAAAGAGAAAAATATTTCACATACTCAAATCCCAGAACCCTCAGAAAATTTGACCCACAGGTTACAGGGTCTTATTTGGAGATATTTGTAATTAACAGGGGAAGAAAAACACAAAGGAGAGGCTAAAGAATAAACAGAGGATTGGAAGTGCCCAGTGGACTTGGGTGTGCCTCAGGAGCACTGTGGTGGGAGTAACTCAATAAACCTGAGCTCTCTGTGGGGAGAGAAAGGACAAACTAATGTTACTTCTTAAAACACTGAGAACTGTAATCCAACACTTGTGAGATAAAAGCACTTCTCAGCGGCTGGTGTCTGTACATGTAATAAAGTCACAGTTTGGTCTTGTGTCACCTGCTCTATATTGAGAAAATGAAACCAGAGGTTCTCATCATAAATAAGAGAATGCCCTGGAATCTTAAGGATTTTTTCACTACTCCGTGGAGTCCTACTTGTTCTTTGCTTTAAAGCAGTGCCAAGAGAGAACTGGACATGAGAGTCAACCTCATATTGTAGTAGCTGATCAGAGTAAACTATATCCACTCAGTGGCACCCCTCCCCCCTAATCTGAGCAGATATCTGATCACAAGTGCACGCATGTGGAGGGGGGTATTTCCTTCCATCAGCAGTAGCCCTCTGAAAGTGTACTAAGCTGGTTGTGGTTTAACTGTCCTCAATTTAGTCTTCAAACACCAAGCCACAATTTGCACAGCCTCAAGCAGAAGAGGCTGGTTTACCTTCAAGCATTTTCCATGAACAACCACATTTGACCGAGCACGTAAACAAAGAAGCGTGAGAAATTAATAAACACCTCCACCACACAGCCCCCTCTTGCCACGCGCACCACCTCTCCTCCACCGCGCACCACCTCTCCTCCACCAATGGCCCTCCTCTGTTCTGCCCACACCAGGGCAGCCCCGTTGAGATGGAAAAGAGGTGCCAAGAAGTTTAAGCCACTATTTAATACCACCCTGGCAGTGAAATCACTCCTCAGAGCTTTCAATGATTTGCAAGTTTCCTCTCTGCTTCTAAGTTTTTTAGTGTAAAATAGTTTCAAATATCTAAGTAGAAGTCCTGTTATTTGACCCAAAGAGGCAAATGTATGAGAATTAGGGATAATTTCCTTGAATTTCCTTTTTCTTGTATTTGGTGAGGTTTTGTTTCCAAATGGGTAGCTGTGGTAGGTTCTCAAAAGAATCTCTTTCATAGAAACTGATAATGAAACAACTCCTCCAAAATTAGAAGTGATAAACTATTTAAACATATGAAAGGTTTTACACTAAAAGGGTCCATTAGGGAAAATGAAAACAATATAGTAATCTTATTGTGTTTTATGCTATGTCTATAGAAATAAACTCAACCAATAAATATCATACTTGTTATTTGAACTCTAAAAAATGGTTAGAGGATGTGAGAAAATGTTTCACAAAAAGAGAAATATAGCTTTTAAATACATGAAAGTTACAAATAATTGGTTGTAAGAGAAGCAAATTGAAACCAAATGACTACTATTTTTCCGCAGGTTAGCAACAACCTGTTGTTTGCCAGCACCCATTCAGCCCACACTTACTTCGTGTGCTGTTTCTTTTGGCAATGCCTAGGAAAGTTATCAGTAACACATTCAGATGACATAAAACTCCCAATTTCAGCACAGTATTTTTTTTCCCTTTATTGTATTTTATTTTTTTTTTAAAGTTGTAGATTTACAATTTTTTGTGCTTTGGTTTCAATTATACAATGATCAGATACCCATCCCTCCACCAGTGCCCATTTTCCACCACCATGGATAATATCCCTCCCACCCCCATCCCCCCATCCCCCCTGTCTCTGTGGCAGGGCAATCCCCTGTGTTCTCTCTCTCCTTTTGGGTGTTGTGGTCTGCAAAAGAGGCATTGAGTGGCAAACATGTTCAGTCCATAGTCTACTTTCGACATGCATCTCCCCTCCTGGGAGGATCCTCCAAACATCCTTTATTTGGTGCTCCCTTCTCTATCTGAACTGCCCTTTCCTCTAGGATACCCGGCTGGCCTCTAAGTTATGGAGTAATCCTCCTGGTGCTGATCTCAGCTATTCTTGGGTATTAATCTCTTACTTTGTTACTTTATATCCCCCAGATGAATGCAATCTTTCTATGTCTATCCCTCTCTTTCTGACTCATTTCGCTTAGCATGATACTTTCCATATTGTACCACTTGTATGTAAATTTCATGACTTCATCTTTTCTAAGAGCTACATAGTACTCCATTGTGTAGATGTACCAAAGTTTCTTTAACCAGTCATCTGTTTTTGGGCACTCAGGTTTCTTCCAGTTTCTGGCTATTGTAAAGAGTGCTGCAATGAACAAACAAGTGCAGATGTCACTTCGACTATACATTTTTGCCTCTCTGGGATATATTCCCAGGAGTGGTATTGCTGGGTCAAATGGGAGCTCAATTTCTAATTTTTTGAGAATCGTCCATACTGTTTTCCAGAAGGGCTGAACCAGTGGACATTCCCACCAACAGTGAAGGAGTGTCCCTTTCTCGCCACATCCACGCCAGCATCGGTTGCTTTTGTTCTTTTGAATGTGGGCTAGTCTCTGAGGTGTGAGATGGTATCTCATTGTGGTTTTGATCTGCATCTCCCTGATGATTAATGATGTAGAGCATTTTCTCATGTGCTTTTTTGCCATTCGGATTTCTTCTTTGAGAAAGTTTCTGTTCATTTCATTGCCCCATTTTTGGATGGGGTTGGATGTTTTCTTCTTGTGGAGTTTAACCAGTATTTTGTATATCCTGGATATCAACCCCTTGTCAGATGTGTATTCGGCAAATATCCTTTCCCATTCTAGCACAGTATTTTAGAATGGCACTCTGTACTAAAATACTCTAGAGGTTATAGTGAGAAACTGCA